TGTAATAAGTTCTAAGATCTTAATTAATCAATAAAATTTATAAGTGTATAAGCAATTTAAAAAAAAAAAATAAAAAAAAAAATAACAATAAAATTCTTTAGTGGAGAGATTTACCAACTCAATTGCTAATTTAGAAAGTTAGAAATCTGTGAGGCTATTATAAAGTATATCAACCCTGGTTAGCCGGTATAAGAATCAGTGGTAGGGGCTCTGTCTACCAAGACCAGAGTAAAAAAATTAGGCAAAAAACTAGTCAGATAGGAAAATACTATATATGTCTAAAAGACTAGCTTATTAAATCAGAAGAAAAAAATATATACTAGAAAATCATATAATAAGACAAGGGTACCAGATATCTAAAGCTAAACCAAGATTGAATCTTCTAGATTGTTAGTTAGGAGTAAGAGATAGAACAATAAAGAAATAACAGAAAAAGAAAAGTTTAAATATGGATACCAGGATTGGAAAGTGAATCTTATAAGAGTAAAAGCAGTTAAATAGATAAAAATCTAACTACAAGTAGAAGTTTTGACAACTATACAAAACAGGTTGGCCTAAATAAAATAAAAAAAGCTTTAGTAGATTTACCTCAAAAATAGCTATGTGTTTGCTCAACAAAAAAAATATAAGTAATTAGTCAGTACAAATCTAGGATAAGTTACAAAAGTCTTAAGATAGAGTATGCAATCTAGTAGAATAGGCTAGATAGTAGTTCCCGGATTAGTATGATATACTATAAAAATAGTTAGAATTAGAAAATTTAAATAAATAACTCTCTAGATATAGCATCTAGTGTAAAACTTGCAGGTAAACTACTTAAATAGGTACTTAAAAGATGCATATATGGCTAGTTGTATCTTTATCATAATTATAATAGTAAATAATTACTAATAAAGAGATCTTATAACCAGTGTTGTACATGAGACATATCTACACTATATAAAATATCCAATGTTTAAGATTGTTTAAAATTGTTCAAGCCTATATCCCAAGTTTAAGTAATCAATAAAGTAATTTGAAAAAATATATAATTATATATTTTTTTAGATGCTGGATTTATTTACAAAAAAATTAAAATAGATTATCTTAATAAAATTTTGAATAATTTTAATTTAAAAAAATATCCAAAATTGTTCCATTTACAACACTGCCCATGGTCAAAGAGGTCACCTTAATACCAAAAAAAAATACTTAATTTTAAATTTTTTAATCAAAAAAATTCAAAATTAAATATCTTTTTTTTTAAATTTTAAAAATTATAAAATTAAATATGCTAAACAAATTTTCTTAGAGCACAAAGTTAGAATCAATTAGTAAAATTTTGAGAATCATAGAATTTTTCAAGTTTACTAAAATGCATCTATAGTGCTAAATACTATAAATGCTATTTCTCAAAAACGTACTAAGCAATTAGGGTCCGGGGTTCTAAGCAAAAGTGTTCAAAACCTCTGAAAACCTTATGCAAACCAAAATTGGGACCTTATATCTAATCTACATTATGTTATATAGTGTTCAACACCACAGGCGCATTTTATAATTATTGTATCAATATAACCATACAGTATAGTATATAGTAATAATATAAATATATACAGTATATAGAATTACTTTTTTTTTGCTTTGAAAAGCCAAAACATTAATGTATCACTTACTAGCGCGGTTTGCTGCACTTTTAATAAGAGTTGCCAAGCACGTTCTTGATCGGTTGTTATTGTATGAAAACAACTACGTACAAGAATAACGATATCGATATATTAAAAAAAATTTGTAATCATTTGCGCAAAATACAGTATCACACAAGAATCGCATTTATGTGATATACATAAAAATAATATTAATTATGAAAAATTCCTTGCCCAACATTATATAAGCTGTGCTTGATTAGTAATGATCACGTGATCCCGGTATTTTCTGTCTTTTACCATAACTATTCTTTATCTAATATGTCTCAGACTGACACTTGTATAAGTGCACCTCAGATGACCGGCATTAATAATTGACCTAAACTATACCCTACTCTAATTTAGACTAGCTGCAATCTCACACAAGTGTTAGTCTGAGGCACGACATACTGTATATACAATGATTGACTAAAAAGTATTTGAAACAGAGTTTTGGGAACTTAGTCTTGAGAAAAAATAAAGGTCAGATCGGACCTAAGGACCTATTTTGTTGGTGAATGTCAATCCGGATATTGGGGTTGATATCCGACCCCATCACAAAAAAATTAATCTACACCATTTAGCACGAAGAGTATTTTGGCCCGTGAAACAAGTAAAATTTACAACAATTAATGAATAAAGTAATGCTAACGTTAATAAGAATCCAATTAATTAGAGATGCGCGCCAAAAGTTAAATAATTACCACACCGTACCATGAATAGAAACACATGCGTTTAAAAATTCTTTAAAAAAGGAAATGAATGTTTATTCGTGATACGATACGGCAAATGTTGTCACCAGACGTACTAAATATGTTTGTTATACAAGAGTTTACACATGACAACATTTGTTTGTACGTACTTGTGTACATACATGGGAGAGAGGAATCAACAAAATTTACAAATGTGATTCATTTTTTTTTTATGTACTTACATCAATGAAGTTAGTTCAAGGCCTCGCATTGGTGTTTTTTGATCTTCCACAGAATACGTATCAACGAATATCATACGTATCGGGAAGTGACGATATACAGAAAGTACCTGAGGCGCAGTGATTGTAATTGGCCATAGCTTAACAATATATACATATATATATATATTAAAAAATAAAAAAATTATATTAAAAAAATTATCGATAAAGACTATTCAAATTTATTTTGCATTACTTTTTGAATATTAAAGCCCTAGTTTGCTAACTTTTATCATCTTTAATTATCATAATTACCGTTTCTAATAGGTTGAGGATGAATTTTAGAGATACACAAGATACTTAAAACCTCGTTTTGTGAAGATTGGTGGTGGGGATTGTAAGAACAGGAGGAAACGTCCAAATATAGGGGAACGTTAAAGCCAGGTTCGTTTAGGGTTAGTTTTTTGATGCAGTTAGGGTTAATTGCTTTATAAGAAATCAAGAACGCAATTTATACAATTTGTAGATCATTATGTAAACGAACCTGGCTTTAACGGATCCCCAAAAAAGTAAGTGCAGAAGTATCAAAAACGTAAGTTTTGCTTCGCGGGAATGCAAATTCCACGTGATTTTGCCACTTGGCGGAGTTTCAATCTCCGCCAATTTCGCAGGAATGCGAAATTCGAAGTCACGTGACTTCTTAACTTGGTCAGAGTTTTTTTTCTTTCTCCACTCTACTATAGCGTGTTTCTCTGTCACTAATTGAAAAAAGGACGCTTTTGCCAGCTTACGCAGGCAAAAGCGTCCCCAAAATAAATTAGCGCCACAGAAACGCGCTATATATAGAGGAGATAAAATAAAAAGAAAATAATTGAAATATTTCATTTTTTTTCTGTATTATATACAATTAACGTTACTACAAAATCCAAATTTAGTTTAAGTGTAACGAATATTGATATATTCATAACATTGTAGCAATCAAAGCTTTAATATAACTATTTATCGTTGTATTAATAAAATTTCGATACTGTGTCTGTGTAGCAGGTTCTCAATGGACTATATATTTACAGGATAATCGACATAAAAAACTACTGTTATCAGTTATACGGAGTAAAATTTTGAGAATTGATTATACAGTAAGAATCAATTCTCAGTAGTTATTCCGAAAGTCTAAAAATCGAATCTCACCATAATATTATCTAAAAATTGAACAAGGTAGACGTTTCTTATAAAAAATGTCATTAATCCGTATATTATATTATTAATAGATTAGAATGAGAAACAAATGAATTATGAATTGAGCTGTTTAAATCGAAAGTAAAAAAAAAAACTTGCCTACCAAACAGTTTGAAAAGTATGCCCAGTATATCCTTTCAAGAACTCAACAAGAGAATGGCATATTGACAGGAAAATCTTGATTCAGTTATTGATTTGTCTTGCTTTTTCATATCGACTACCGTATTATCTCAAAATAACGCCCCTGGGCGTTATTCCGAGGGGCTTAAATGGCAAAATTAATTATTGATATGTTTTAAATTAAGCCCTTCGTAATAACGCCCCGAATCGTTATTTTGAGATATCATTCCAAATATCTTTCCTAATCAAAATAAAATATTTAAACAGTATATGCTTAAATAATTAAAAATATAATAAATATATATATTCAAAGTTTTTAGCAAGAATATGAAACAATTCAAATTTTATTATTTCATCTTCACAATAGAAAATGGAATTCCGTCAATTTGATTATTTTAATGGTCTAAAAGAAAACGTGCAAAAATTCAGAGTCAGTTAATGCTTTAATAAATTATCCCCTAGTTCATAAAATTTCGTTCGTAATAAGTATTCTTGCGCCTCATGATTATCGGTTGCTTAGAGTTAAGAAAAATAAAGTAGAGAGAAAAAGTTACGATTAGTAATCAAACCCCTTATGTACTAAAGTCAAATAATCCATCAGTTTCGTTATTGTTAAACTATTAACAAAGTCATATTATTTTAGAGATTTTCACTTGAAAAATAAGTTAACTAATCAGGTTCAAATAATCAAATATCTTGTGATTTATGCATTTTATTCATACATACTCCTTGCATTCATTGCAATAACATATTGTAAAATTTAACAAAGATTTAAATTATGAACAAACATTATTAATACAGGTAAAACCAGAACAACATTGTGAATTCGTAGTGCAATAATTATCACAATCATTTTTGCTAATGCAAGATGCAGTTGAAATCGTACAATTGCATGTTAAAGCATCACAAAGTGCACAAGAGTCCCGATAGCCATATTCGCATGTTCCTCCAGAAGGACTGCATTCATAAACGGATGTACGGTTACAACCTGATAAAAACATAAAAATGTAAGCAACATATTTTGGTTTGTAAAAATAAATTAAAGATTCATAACATACCAAGTTGTTTACCGCAGTATTGGCCTTGTGGAAGTCCTGTAGGGCATTTACATGCAGTATTATAGTCGCAGGCAGAAAAAACTGTTGAAACTAAGATCAAAATTGACACAAGAAAAACCATAAACCTGAGATACCTTATAATTGAAATTAGGATACAATATTGATTAAATTGATCTCAAAAAAAATAATAATAATAAGCAAAACAAAACAAAATAAAATAAAATAAAGTAAAATAAAAAATAAAAATAATATT